TTGTCTGAAGTGAAGTCTTTGCGTGAATTGAATCCACCGCTGGATATAATGCCGAACGGAAACGTTGGGACGCCTTCTGCCGTATTCCTTGAGCTGATCCGTGAGTGTCGACTCCCGGCGCCCGTTATCTCCAAACTAGAGCTCGATTTCCCGAAATCCATGAAAAGGCGGATCTATTCGAGGGTTGAATACGAATACAGTGAACATAACAAGAGATACAAAACCAAAGCGACCGATAAAAGTGTCCATAAATTGAGTTCAACTGATAATTCAGTTGATAATAAAGATATGGATTTACTGAAGACGAGGAATGGTTTCGTAATTAATGATAATTTTAGTGCAAAACAAAAGACAAAAGAGACTTCAAATGAGAGTCAATTGGAGTGCAAAGAGAGGACTGAAGAGGAAGACGATGGCAGTGATGAGTGCGAAGAGGAAGAGTGGGATAGATATGAGAGTCTTCACGAGGATGTGACACAACAGGAGAGGAATACTGAGAGACTGTTTGAGGAGGAAATTGAGGTAAAGTGGGAAAAGGGCGGCTCAGGGCTGGTGTTCTATACGGACGCCCAGTTCTGGGACATCAAAGACAACTACGAGGACTTCAATGAGAAGACTCCGGACGACTGGGACCTCGACCTCAGTGTTTACCGTAAGAACTGTTCGGCCGATAAGGAGGCCATCGATTTGAAGGCATTAACGCATGAAATGGGGTTAAGAAGAGGCAAACGAAAAGACCGCAAATATTGCGTGAATTCTGTTTTCGATCAAAGGTTTGCATTTCATCTCAATTATGGCTTAATTTATGTTTTTAACAATTTTTCAAATGTTTAGCAAATGTGGCGAAAGAATCGGTGCTTTTGAAAGACATACCAAAGGTTTCGGACGAAGAATTATGGAGAGCCAGGGCTGGGAGTGCGGTAAAGGGTTGGGTGAGTCCGTCACTGGTATTCCTGAGCCCATTGCCGATTGCGGACAACAGCCTACCGATAAGAGAGGGTTTGGCTATAGAGGCGAGAAATTAAAGTCATATCAATTGCTTAAGACTTTTGACAAAAATGATTACCGTAACTGTAAATGAATTATTAAATAAATTTTTATTTTATACAAAAACATTTGCAGTTTATTTTCTTAATTAAAATCCGATCACTATATATGATTGAATATCATTGACCCCCGATTTCACCAAGGTGCCACTCAGATTGATAGATTTATCAATGAACTATTGTACCAAGACCAACTATCGTATTCACGGGTCCATAGAGTAGTGCTTAAATATAAACATTTTTGGACTCATTGACTGTAAAAACAACTTATGTGCACAAACTGACCATGGTGAGCAATAATCGGTGTTGATTACACAACAAATGGACACAATTGTTGCCAAACTGTGTCAACATTATCCCAATTGACCCGAACTTAGGGCCTAAGTCTTAGCCATAAGAGCACATCATTGATGGCAATCCCACTCAATGTCTTTGTTTGCCTTTGTTTTCATAGAAACCCAAACTTTATTTGATTTGTGTTTGGATTGTATTTACGGTTATATTGAAGACATTCACGGCATTCACACCAATCAGTGTCCCTTTGGATGTCATTATGGACTCAAATGACAACGACTTCCATGATCTCAAGACACAGTATAAGAGACTTTGCGATGAATTGGCGTTTGAGAGACAATTGAACCATATTTTGGACACTTTTAAGAGCTATTCACTCGTTTTGATTAATCGATGCAAATGCGAGACAAACCGCCAGATTGTGGACCAATTGAATCACTTCAGTGATCAATACGCAAGTCTTAAGAGCCGTCAAAGTGAGCAACAAAACGGTGTCCTATTGTCCGGTAATTAATGTTTGAATCAAAAAGTAGTTGAATTTGTTTTGACTATAAATTCATTGAATAGATCCAGAAATTGGTGATAGAAGTGGTGATACATCTGTGGACATAATGTACCCGAAGGTTGAGATTCAAGAGTCAACTGATCCGTCAGTTACTCACACTTGTAGTGAATGTGAACAACAGTTTGCTTCAGAGCTGGATCTACAGATCCATATGAATAGTGTCCACAAAGAGGACCTACAGTTGTATACATGCGATGAGTGCCGAGAAGTCTTCACTAGTGATGATCTGTTTGCCACACATATGAGAGATAATCACGGCTTTAGTGATACAAATACTGGACATTCGGATGATATGCACACCAGTGATGACAACAAAATGTTTTTAGGTTTGACTTATAAGATATGATTATAAAAGTGATTATACGGTAACAGTAATTAAGACTTGTATTTAATATTTCAGAAAACATTAGTTTAAATAGTATTAAAAGTGTGGAACAAATGGCAAAAAGTTTCAAAATCTCTGGTAATTAAAAATATTGATTTTTATTTTTATGGTACCGTAAGACAAATATTTTAAGATTTGTGTTGATTTGGTAGATATAATGAGACAATCGCGCAGTTTGTCCACTAATGGGTGCAACGATTATTTGGCCAAATATTTGCTACAAAATGTGCCAAATTATGGCAAAATTGTCAATAAATTCAAATGCAATGAATGCCACAAATGGATGCCATCGGAGACGG